TTAATTTCTTTCTTAAAGAAAACTTTTATTGTGAAAAACTTAAACACATACAAAAGTAGAGAGAATAGTATAATGGGCTCTTATATCCATCACCATCTTACACAATTATCTACTTCTATGCACTTACCCCTAACCCCGCCAGATGACTTTGAAGCAAATACTAGGCATTGTATCTTTTCCCTTACAAATATTTCAGTATGAATCTCTTTAAAAAATGAAGATTGTTGTTTTTTAAAAAAATTACTACAATACCATTGTATTACCAATCATTTCTTAATTTCAAATATCTAGTCAGTGTTCAAATATGCTCAGTAGTTTCAAATTATTTACATTGTATTTAAATTAGGGTCTAAAGTTTATCTAATTCATAAGTTTTTTTCAGTATTTCTCTGCCCTTTCAATTTCTTTTCCAATTTATTAATTTCGTATTTTATCTGAATTGGTTGATATGTCTGCTACAGTCACTTCCCTTTTGATAGATGTTTGACTTTCAATATCTACGCATTAGACAACTCCTTAATGGAATGTAAGAAATCTATCTATGTAGTTAATGTTATTTTAGTAAAAAATTCATTTGATAGATCCCTGGAAACTGCTTGAAAATCATTTGTAAAAAGGAATTTTGAAAAGACTTTTTACAAAGAAAACAGTGTTGTAAGTCATGTTATGTTCGAGTGTTGTTATTAAGGAGTGATTGGGAGTTAACATTGCTCTAATTCAGTGAACCACTCTCCTGGTTTTTCTCCTGCTTCAGTCTTGAGTCTCAGAGTCCTTCACTGAGTCCTCTCCCTCTATCTGATCTCTAAATGTTGGGGTTTCTCAGGACTCAATTTTGAGCGCACTTCCCTCTTGACACCATCTCCTTATGGGATCTCAATAATACCCATGGTTCTAAATGATATCTTTGTTGATAAGTTTGACCAAAAAATTCTTTCACATAGCAAATACAAAAACTAGTTGTTTTTGGTTGAAACAAAGTAAAAAGACAAATGACACACTGGCTTAAAAAATTGCAACTTAAATCACAAAGACTTAATATATAGAGTTTCTTAAAAGTAGAAAAGAAAACCAGTAATCCTATAGAAAAATAGGCTGGAGATAACAGCAGACAGATCACAGAGAAAAGATGCAAATTGCCCTTAAAAAGATGAAAAGATTTTCTACCTTGGTCTTGATAAGAGAATGCAAATTAAAACTACACTGAGATACCATTTTTCTCACTTAGCAGTTTGGCAAAGTTCCAAAAGTTTGACCACATACTGTATTGATAAGTCTATGGGAAAGTAAGCATGCTCATACGTTGCTGGTGGAAATAAAAAAAGGAACAAACTTGATAGATGGGAATTTGGCAATAGTAAAATTATATACGCATGTACAGTTAGACCCCAAATTCTGCTTATAGGAATTTAGCCCAAAGATACACTGGCAAAACTACGGAAAAGCATATGCACACAGCTATGCATGATAGCGTTATTTATAATGGTAAATCTCTGAAAACAACCTAAATGTTCATCAACAGAGAACCAGTTGAGTAAATTAGGGTACATTCACTCATTGAAGTAGGGTGACTATGTTTTTTTTTTTTTTTTTAATTTTATTTATTTTATTTTTTTCTCCCAAAGCCCCAGTAGATAGTTGTATGTCATAGCTGCACATCCTTCTAGTTGCTGTATGTGGGACGCGGCCTCAGCATGGCGGGACAAGTGGTGCATTGGTGCGCACCTGGGATCCAAACCCGGGCGGCCAGCATCGGAGCGCGCACACTTAAGTGCTAAGCCACGGGGCGGGCCCATGGGTGACTATGTTTTTAGAGAGTCAATTCAGGACACAACCATATTAGAAAAAAAAGATGTATAATAAATATATGTATGTGTTGGTACTTTAACATAAAATTATGAAAATATGTTTCTTTGAAATTATATATTCTGTATTTAACGTTCTGTTACTTAAATGCTGTTATTTAAACAAAACAATAGGACTAGTTAGCAAAGGCAATTAGCAGTAATAGATAGTAGGAACAACTTATTAAAAATGTGTGGGAAAAATAAAAAAATATATTTATGATGTTGATACATTATAAACATACAGAAGATGCTTATACATTATCCGCTAATACAGAAGTTCATTTTAACTTTTCTTTTTTCTTTTTTTTGCAGAGGAAGATTCACCCTGAGCTAACATCTGTGCCAGTCTTCCTCTATTTTGTATGTGGGTTGCTGCCACAGCACGGCTGCCAGTGAGTGGTGTAGGTCTGCGCCTGGGAACCGAACCTGGGCCTCTGAAGCAGAGAACAGATGAACTTAACCACTAGGCCACGGGGTTGGCCCCTATTTTAACTATTTTATAATTCTTTATTGGATTACTATGCTCTTAAGATATATAAATGCAAGAATTTCAAAAAGGAGAACCTAAATACAATAGGACTAACTCAACTGATATTACCTATACTTAATAAAAAATAACATCATGTGGGGCCGGCCCAGTGGCGTAAGCAGTTAAGTGTGCACGCTCCGCTGTGGCGGCCCGGGGTTCGCTGGTTTGGATCCCGGGTGCGCACCAATGCACCGCTTGTCAAGCCATGCTGTGGCGGTGTCCCATATAAAGTGGAGCAAGATGGGCACGGATGTTAGCTCAGGGCCAGTCTTCCTCAGCAAAAAGAGGAGGATTGGCAGATGTTAGCTCAGGGTCAATCTTCCTCACACACACAAAATAAATAGATAACATCATGTTTCTTTCTGTCACATGATACAGTAGGATATTTTCACTCTTTCTATTTCCTTTTCTGAAAGCATTTCTCTGAACTGCCCGCAGCCTTTAGGACATCCTTAATTTCTTTTATGTAGTGGTAAAACTCAATACAGTCAAACGTAAAATTCACTTTGACTGGCAGCTCTGCTTTGATCAAACCCATGTTACACTGGTTCCTGGCGTGAGTACAATATGATGACATCAAGCTAAATTTCCTCTCAACACAAGTGTTTAGGCATGGAATACTTAGAATTGTATGAGTCAAGATTTAAACTCATTGGAATTAGTTTCCGGCTCTCCAAAAACGCCCATCTACTCTGTGTCTATAGGCTTGTTTAGGGAGACCAACTCAAATTTGTCAGCTATTTCCTTTGCATTCATTTATTCATCATGTAGTCTATCCAATGTCTAAAATGTCCATCACTTTTCAACACTATGAAGATTATGGGATGACATCATAAGTTAAACTTCTCTATTTCAGGGAAAATTGTTTTTAATTTAAAGCAGAGAGGTAATTAGAACTTATGAAAATAAATTTGAATTTCAAACAAACTACAATTTTAGTAAAGAAATTAAGAAAATCCTGTTTCACTTGGTTGCCTTGTTCTGGTGATTTTTTTGAGTTCTGAAGCATTCTTATTTCAAAAATTGGTGTTTTGTGTGTGTGTGTGTCTGCACGTTTGCTGTATCAGTTTTTGTCACAATCTACACATAATGCTGAATAACTCAGATGCAGTCAATTCACCTTCTTCTAGACTTCTTAGAGCCTCTGCAAAGATCATCAAATGGTTTTGGAGAAACAATATAAATTTCTGTTTTACTGTAATTCTTTTCTACATTTTCATCCTTGATGGATTTAGTGAGTACCTACTATATGCCAACTACTGCCCTAAATGCTGGAGGATACAGCTTTGATCAAAAGAGGCAAAGCTCCTTCCCTATTACAAGCTCCTGGTAAATAGGAAACATATTATTCTGTAAAAGACATGAAGATGTATTTTTTATTTTTTAAAAATCAACTTTATTGAGATTTGATTTGCAGACAATAAAATGCACACATTGTAAGTATATATTTCAATGAATTTTTACAAATGTATCCACCCATATAACCACCACCATAATCAAGATACAGAACATTTCCATCACCTCAAATCACCTAGCCCTATGCCGGTTAATGCTTCCTTGACCCAGGGGCAGTCACTGCTCTGTTTTCTGTCACTATAGTCTATTTTTAGAGTTTCGTATAAATGCAATCATACTCTTTTGCCTCTGATTTCCTTTGCTCAACATATTGTTTCTTGAGATTCATATTTTTGTATGTCAAATAGTTCATCCGTTTGTTGATAATTACTATTCATTACATCGTATGGATACACCACAAGTGGTTCATCCAGTCACCAGGTGATGAACGTCTGGGTTGTGTCCAGTTTTTGACGATTAAAAATAAAGCTATGAAAATTAATGTACACGCTTCCGTATGGATACATATTTTCATTCCTAAGTAAATACCTAGCAATGGAATTGCTGGATCATATGATAAGTATATGATTAACTTTATAAGAAAAACGTTTTCTTTTGTACCATTTTGCATTCCCACCAGCAACCTATGAGAAGTCCTGTTGCTCCACACCCTCCTCGACATTTGGTATCGTTTTGTAAATTTTGGCCATTTAAATAAGTATGTAGTGGTAGAGATGCATTTCTTACCCATGCCAGTCCACTTACATAAACCCACTTTAAAACTGATCATTTTATTAATAAGTTTTAAGAACAATCTAAAACATGTCCGAGTCTGAAAGAAAATGGCTGGCTTGACTCGGCAGATATTTTGTTTCTATTTTCCCTCGCGAAACGCCCAGGCGCTGTCTAGGAAACATATATCCGGCGTCAGTTAGGCAGCACGAGCTCGCCGGAGCGCTCGCAGCCAGGTTCTTCACTCACGGCGCCACAGCGAGGGTCTACGCTTACGTCCGCGGCTTCCTTCCGCCTTCGCGTCACCTGTCTAAGCATTTCCCCGGGAGCCGCGCGGGACCGGGCGGGCTCCGCGGCCCTAGGCTCCGCCCCTTGCCGGGACTGGGCCTGAGGCTGCGAGAGGGAGGTAGCTTCCGGTCTCGCGATTGGCTCTAATCCCGCGAGGAGAGAAGACGGCCGCCATCGGCCGAACGGCGGCGGTGGCGAGGGAGGGGGTGTGGCCGGGGAGCGCAGAGTCCCCTGGAGCGAGGGGGAGGGGGCGGGGTCGCGCGCAGCGGGCGTACGCATGCGCGCACGCGGCCAGTCGGGCTGGGCTGCGAGGGGAGGGGGCGGCGGCGGCTGAGGCGGCGTCGTTATTTCCGCGGTGGGCACTGTGCGTGTCGGCGGGGGTGGCCACGGGAGAAGTAGGTAGGAGCCGCCTGTGCGGAGCCACTGAGACTCCTTCCCTTTGGTGTCCGAGGGCGCCGCCTCCCGCGCGTGTGGCGGACCTGGGGACGCCAGGTCACCCTGCGGCCCCGGCCCTCCCGCCGCGCTTCAGGTAGGAGCTGCGGGCTCCCCGTCCCCGCCGAGGCCCCAGCCCTGCCCGGTGTTACCGAGGCGACGACCTGGCACCGGCGTGCCCGCCCGCCCTCCCGCGCGGCGACAGTCCTGTCCTTGCGGACGCGCCCTGTGGGGCCGGGCCGAGCTGACCGGGTGGGGCGGACGTGGGGCCGCTCCCCGCCTCAGGTGCGCCCCGGGCCTGGCGGTGGGACCCCGCGGTGCGCTCCTGCACGCCGTGCCCCCCACCGGCGAGGCTGTGCGGGGGTCCTGTCCGGCCCGGGACAGGTTGGCCCAGCGAGCTCCTGGCAGGTGAGGGACCACCTTGACTTGAGTCGTTGCCGCAAGGGGTCCTGGGCTGCGAGAGGGGACCCTAGAGAGTGGCTTGGTCGTTTGTGGCCGGTGTTGAAAGTTGGAAGCTCTGGAGTTGGTTCGGTTTGGGCCAGTGGTGGGATGGTTTGTGGATTTTCTGGTTAAGTCGTGAGAAGGGAAACTCTATGAGCAGTGATAGGTGGTGGTTCTTAGTAAAGAGCAGCAGTAGTGTTAATTAATGTGAGATTTAATTGTATTAAGGTAATTTTTTCCAGTACCCTCCGCAGACTCAGAAGAGCTCTGCTTAAACACTTTGGTTAAGACTTGCATCTAATGCTAAACCCACACGCATGGTTAGCAGATACTCTTGCCCCGAAAGCTACATCCTCTGTTTTACACCAGTGTTAATTTTATAGGCATAATGGTTATGAAAGCTTCTGTAGAAGATGATGATTCGGGATGGGAGCTCAGTATACCAGAAAAAATGGAGAAAAACAGTACAAGCTGGGTGGACATAACCCAAGATTTTGAAGAAGCTTGTCGAGGTGAGTTTGAATTTTTGGATTAGAAGTTCAGAATCTGGGAAAGGGTAAAATAAAATCTCGATTATGATTTCTAAACTATCTCAGTAAATGAAAAGAAATCAACAGGTAACTGTGGTTTATCAAGTTTGTTAAACCACATTTACTTATTCTCTACCCTCTAATTTTAACTTTCATTTAAAGCCAGTATATATTTGATACAGCATTAAATACAGATGTTGAGGCAGTTTCTTCTATTAAAATTTTCTAACTTCAAGGAAGAGGTTAGAGAGTACATAGCGATAATTTTGAACTATTCGAAATAATTCCACATGTCAGAAATATGAATTCTTTTGTCATGAAGAAGGTAGTAGTATTGTATAGTTGAGGTCTGAAAATGATCAGATCACGTCATTCCCTGCTTAAGATCTTCCAGTGGCTTCCTGTTGCATGTAGAATAAAAGCCAAACTCCTTCCTCATGGCCTATATGATCTGGCGCTTGCCTACCACTTAGACTTGGTTCCTGTACCACTGCCCCCCTAGGCTCACTATGTTAGTCACAAGGTCCTGCTTGTCTCATTAAACACACCCAGCTGGTTCCCCTCAGGGCTTTTGCATATTTCGCTTTCTCTCTCTTAAAAGTGCTTTGCCCCCAGGTCTTCACAGAGCTGACTCTTTCCTGAGGGCTTAAATGTTACCTCTCCAATGAGGACTTCTCAAAACAACCCATTTAAGCAGATTGACCCCCTTATTCTCTTCTATCCGACTCCACCTCGGTTGAATCACCCTGTTTTATTTTCTTTGTAGCACTTATCCACTGTCAGAAGCCATCATTTTCAATTCTCGTTTATTGTCAGTCTCACCCACTGGAATGTAAGCTCAGTGAGTGCGGAGATCTTGTCTGTAACCCTAGCACACAGAACAGTGCCTGGCACACAGTGAGTTCAGGCAAATGGTTGGAGAAATGAGCGTGTTTGTTGTTTGAGGAGAAAGAGCCTTAGGGAGAGATTGAAGATAAGAGAAAGGAACAAATGATAAGAGTGAGAGCTTGAACTTAAGAGACCATGGGACCAAGAACATGATAGAGAAATTAACTTGGGGAAAAAGAATAAGGACATACTGAGACAGGAGGAACTGAGGTTAGGGTGGTGAAGATACAGATTATTTCTTTCCTTTTTTTGTTGGTATATTTCTAAGTGGATGGGGAGGGATGATGGAGGGATTTACACCTTGATGCCTTTTATTTTCTTAGTGAACAAGAAGGTTAGGACTTCGATGATGGTGAGGTTGGAATGTTTGGAATATAACTCTTAAGGAGAGGAGTAAAGACTTGGTGCAGCTGCAGGTAGAAAGGAAGCCAGCTGAGTATAAGCAAAATGATAAATCATGTGCCTATCCTTTCACTGTTTTGAAAACGTCCAGTTAAAGGATGCCTGAGTGAGATAATGGAAAGAACATTAGACTCGAAGTTGGGTGACTGCCAATATATGTTTATCTAAGGGAAAGAGCAAGAAGTGTAAGTTACAATGTAGTTTTTGTACTCAGAGATCTTAGACTGTTAAGTGGATCATACCTAACATCTTGCGCTTATTTAAGTCGTCTATATTAGAGGGTTGTCATTATGAACCTAAAAGGGAGAGGTTTTATGATGTATATATGGCTAGAGTTAGGCCTTAAAGGACTAGTTGAATTTCTATAAGTGAATGTGAGGGAATTATTCTAGACAAGATGAACCTTTAGAGCCATAGTTTAGTGAGAGTTTTATGTTTGAGGAACAATGAGTAATTCTGCTACTTCGTGAAAAGAACCTTGAATAGGAGATATGGTTTAATCTCTGCTTCAGTGTGGATTGAGAGGGGGTGGCATTCATTTTGTTGCCAATATCAAACTATCCTACTAACTCTTCCGTAATTAGCTCTTGCACTGTCTCAGATGGCACAAATGTAAGGTATACTGCTTGAAATTAAAAGGTTGATATAGAATTAATCTTCCTTTATGTATAGATTTAGGACTAAAGGCTGTTGGCAGCTCTTGAGCTTGTGGTATTAATAATTTGTTTTCCCCTCTTGAAATAATCAGGTTTGTAACCTTAGTTATAGTTGACACTTTTGTCCTAGCAACTTTCTGAAAACTAAATTTAAAACAGATATTATTACATCCTTTTCTTTATTGCAGTGGTTTCTCCTCACACACTGTTGTGTGATGGCATTTGGCTAGACTTGGGTGATTTTTTTTTTTGGTACTTTAAATCAGTCTGCATACTGATGACAGTGTTCTTCATGTACATTTCTACTTTTTTAGTGGCTCTTCAGAGTCCTCTGGATCGAATTCTAACTTTTGTCATTTCTTTTATTTCCTATTAGGCAGATGGTGCACATTTCCTAGAACCAGCATTGAGGCTCTTGTGTTTTTTTTCTTTTCCAAATTATTTTCTAGAGCAGTGGTACCATCACTGTTATTTTGCCTGGTAGGTAATATATCATTGTTCTAAATAAGACTTCTGAATGTTGCTTCTCTAGGAAACTTTGGCTAATTTAAACCATCTCACTTTGCTACCTGTGAAAAATCTCTGATCTTATTCCATTTGGTTGTGTATATTTAGGTGCGTTCTGAATGACAAACCCACAACTTAGGAATTTCACTTAAACATAAATGATCATAAAATATACATTGCTCCTTCTTCTATCTACTGGATTCCCTTCTTCCACACAGTGGATAGCCAGTAATCTCTCCTAGGATGATGACCTCATCAAGTGTCTATAGCCCAGAGGTAATAGAAGGTTGGCTATCATTGCTTCTATTCTTTTTAAGCTCTAGTCTAGGAGGATATGGGCCCCTCCCCCATCCCATTTTCTTCTCTGTTTGTTGGTTTAGCTTATTTCTTGGTCAGTCTTTATCACAGGTACCTTGCTTAAGGCCCCCTTATCCATCCAGTTTCTTCAGCTCTTGCCCAGTACTTTTGGGAAACTCCTTTTATTGCTTTCTCTTCTCTCTTTTAAAATCTGGGATACTTAAGCTTCTTGTTTCTCTTTGTTTCTGTTGTATGTTATATTACCCAGAACATTTGTAGTTCTCAGTATATATTTGCTTTAAAAATAAATGAATATTCTGAGGCCTTGTGTTTAAAAACTAGAGAATGTCTGGATCTTGGACTTCAGAAATTAGAGAACCACTACATTACATTAAATGCTGTCATTTTAGGTGATTGCCTGGAACGAGCATAATTATGAACATGAGTTTGGGCACTGAAATTGTGGCAATATTTGATTATAATGTTATCATCCAGTTGGTCTGGAATATGTTTCTGTAATCTTTTTTTTTTTGCTGAGGAAGATTTGCCTTGAGCTAACATCTGTTGCCAGTCGTTGTCTTTTTGCTTGAGGAAGATTTGCCCTGAGCTAATATCTGTGCCAGTCTTCCTGTATTTTGTATGTGGGTCGCCACCACAGCATCGCCACTGATGAGTGGTATTGGTCTGCACCCGGTAACTGAATCCGGGCTGCTGAAGTGGAGCGTGCCGAATTTAACCACTAGGTCACAGGGCCAGCCCTGTAATCTTTTTAAAAGATTATCCTTAAACTGATTACATAGCATTTAACAATTACTATAGAAGACATATAGATTCTTTTTTTTTTTTTTTTAATTTTATTTATTTATTTTTTTCCCCCAAAGCCCCAGTAGATAGTTGTATGTCATAGCTGCACATCCTTCTAGTTGCTGTATGTGGGACACGGCCTCAGCATGGCCGGAAAAGCAGTGCATCGGTGTGTGCCCGGAATCTGAACCCGGGCCGCCAGCAGCGGAGCGCACGCACTTAACCGCCAAGCCACAGGGCTGGCCCGAAGGCATATAGATTCTTAATAAAACTTTCATGATCTCCCCTGAATCCATGAACCCCAGTTTGAGAGTCGTCGTTCTAGGAATTTGCTGTTTGTTCTAATTAGCACTTTATTCTAAGAGGAAAAAGGTTGACAGAAATTGTCCTGGTGAGAGATCTGGGCAACCTGTAAAATATTTTTTAAGTGCTTTTGGTTTTGGAAATGAAAATTATATTTTCCTTCTTTCACACTATCAAGAATATTTTCAGCACTGGGGCACGGATGGGGTGGGCAATACTGGTAATTGTGGATCCGTTTAATCAATGGTTCTCCACCAGGGGTGATTTTGCCCCTCAAGGGACATTTACCAATGTCTTGAGACTTGTTTGGTTGTCACAGTGAGGGGTGGTGGTGCTACTGCTGTCTAGTGGATACGTATCAAGGATGCTGCTAACCATTAGATGCACAGGATAGCCCCCACACACAAAGAAATTATTCTGCCCAAAATGTCAGGAGTGCTGCTTAGTTCACTCCATTTGTATTACTTTCAAGAATGTTCAGCTATCATTTAACCTTTCTGGACCCTGGATTCTTCAGGAAAGGATATTGAATTTCTTAACACCTCTAACAACTAGTATTAACATAGAGCAAGCAGTGGGAAGGGAATGGGACCTTTGATGCACTTTCAGGGCTCTTCTGCATTGTTGAATGTGTCTTATCAGATTTCCCCCTTAAGCTTGTATTGTGTATCCTGCTTTATGTTAGGAGCTTTGGTCAATCGAAAACGTGTCCTCAGAAGTCATCACTTTCCCCCTTTTAGCTGGTTATTTTGGTATTCATGATTCTAGGTAGCATACTTTTGTTGCTACTTATCGATTCCCTCCACTCCCAATTTTGATGTTACCTATGGACTTCCCTCCCATATAGTTATATCTACACTATGGATATGCAGATATTATTCACAGCTGAGCCAGACAGTAAAACTGTTATTACTTTTCCCTTCCTGCACAGTTCTTCTGTTTTACACAAAAAATTTTTACCCAAAATCTGTATACAGTCGTGTATCTCTTAACGACGGGAGTACATTCTGAGAAGTGTGTCGATAGGTGATTTTGTCGCTGTGTGAACATCTTAGAGTGTTTTTACACAAACCTAGATGGTACAGCCTACTGCACAGCTAGGCTATATGGTACTAATCTTATGGG